AAAATTTAAAAAATTTTCGGGTGGAAAATTATGCCAATCAAACACACTTGAAATCATTTTCCCTACAAAACATTTTCTAGGCAAATCTTTTCCCTGTAAAACATTTTCTTTCCACCCATTTTCCACCATTACAATCAAACGGGCCTTATATTTTTTTATTTTTTATTTACTTAAAACCTACTTTTCCAAATTGAGTCGTAGCCAACCGGAAAGTGACCTACGTCCCACGAAACCAACCCATCAGGTCTGTTTGGGTAGGTTCCACGGTTAATATACCCACTCCTAGTTTGAGTGAATTCTTTTTAGTATATCACGTATTTATGTGCGATATAGCATGTTTAGTAAGAAGAAATGACTTCAAAATAACTCACAAGTCAAGGCCAACCCAACAATCAAGATTAAGCACATGGATTCTGTCATCTGTGAGCAATAATATCCTTCCAGGAAGGAGGTTGGAAAGCACTTAGAAATGCAATTATTGAACCAAAACCAACATCTCTAGGGTAATATTATTCCTCGTTTTTCAATTTACCATGTTTGATAGCCAAAATTTTCCATGAAAAATATTTTCCTCCCACCCCCACGTGACCCCCTTTTTCCATGTTTTTGTTCAATTACATATGGGGAAAATTGAATATATTACTTAACTGAGCATTGATACACCAGCAACGTTCTCGCCTAAGTCATAGACATGGATAAAATGAATAATCCCCGTCCATGCTGATTGGCAAACACATCTTTCACATCCAAAAGCCTGACTTTTATGTCTTATGTTAGCAAAACTACTCTACTATATTAAGTTATTTTGCTGACAATTAACTAGTCAAGGTTCCTAAAGATACTTTCCTTTCAAGATAAGCACAAGAACTTTCTAAAATAATTTGTACTTTAAATATAATTGGGTGGTTGTGTTATCTGGATGAACATGCATCGTTAATAACTTTTGCAAATACCATCCAATAATCAACTGATAGTGTACATTAGTGAAGTATTTAGGCATGCAAAGTATATACAAGATTTAATGGCTCACTCTTCTTTTAGGCGTACATAGTACTATACAAGATTGGGCAATAAGGAAACTCGAATTACATTTGAGTTGAGATCAAAGTGCAGCTTCAGTATTGGCCTTCTTCAATCAACCAATTAGGTACATATCCATGTGAAAACCTGACAAGAAAATGAGACTGTTATTTTGTCACCATGATTTCTCATTCACGGTTAAGATTAATGAATTAAATTGTGTTACCTGAGAAAGGCATATATCACCAATATTCCTTGAGAAAGGGTAGAAGGACATTGCGGGCGTTGGGATGATCCCACTCCAATAATTATTTAAAGGTTATGTTGTATATGAAGATAGAACTTAACAAGAATTTATAAACAATGAGTCGATCGAGTTGACCTACTTCCTTGAATGGCTCCAAATCTTCTTCAATTGAATTGAGAAGTACTCAATACACTAATTCTGAGACGAATCTCTAATAGATGCAGGAGTAGATTAACATATATTTACCTTGAATCGATTAAATCTTTGAGCAATTCTTTTATAAGCTTAATCTGCTTACAATCTCAATGAAGTAAAAGAAGAGTATAATTAATTAAGATGAATTAACGGCAGAAAGCTGTGGGTTGAGGGAGAAGCATATATGCTAATTCAGTGTTTGTTTTAAAAACATCCATTAGAGGCTTAAAAACAATTTATTTGCCAACCATGTTTTTAAAAATCAATGAATATTAAAGCGCGACAAAATAAAGTTTAATAGATTGATGAGGTATCAAAAAGTAAATAGTGAAGATTTATTTATTTATTTTTATTTGGCTGAAGAAATTTTGATCAAATTATATCTTACCACATCATGTGTTTGTAAATCAGTCTACAAGTGATGATATCACAATGTATATGTAACATAACTAAATTCATGAACTTTTTACACATGCCAAAATAAGTTTCACAAAGCATAAGTTGATATAGTTTGTAACTAATTCTTAAATATGAATGCATTAGCGTACCTAGGATTTGTTATACAGACACCCTGAGAAAATGAAATAAAGCAGTTCCCAATCACATTTGGACGGCGATAAAATGTCTAAAATGTTCACCAAACTACAACTTTAGTATTGGCTTTCTTCCTCGCTTGACTCTGGAGCATCCGAATCAGTTATGCTCTCTGGAAAGAACAAGTTATAATTTTGGAACATCAAGTAACAAAAAAAAAAAAAATGACAAGGAAGATGCACGAGTCAATAATTAACATAAATCAAGATGTCAAGATGCAAGGAAGAATCAATCCTAGACATTGATAATCAATTATCAAGTAAATTGATGGAGCATGAGCACAAAACTGAATATATATATATATAATTTTATTTTACACACTAATGTTAATCTTAAAATTTGCATCGATGGTATTTTATTTAACTTTTAGGGTTATTATCCAAAAATTTTTTTTCTCTAATTTTATATCTAAATGTTATTTACTAATTAAATCTAAGTTGAAGTCAAAAATTAATTTTAACCACACATTTTATAGGATGCACGCCTTTTCAATTACACGTTCTGTTAACTTTTATCAAAATCTATTAAAATTTTGATTTTTTATCTAAACCAAACAGATGCTCAATACAGACAATAAACTAATAAAAAACATTAATTCTAAATTAATTTGATTCTTTAATTATTCGTTTTTAGTGTCATCAAATAATTCTACCATGAGTTGAGAGTCTCGCTTGATGGATTTGTATGTTTCCTTTTGTTCTTAGATAAATTTAGGATCTATTTGAGACCAATTTTTTAAGAAATGAGTTGTTGAAAAATTATTTTTAGAATTAATTATTAAGAGAGATCAAAAGAAATAAGTTGTTGAAGATAGTGTGGAATCGTACCTGTTTCGGAATAAACGGATCCTCAAAAGAAACCAAGGGTTGAAGGACATTTTTGGCATTGTGATCGGCCCACTCCAATGATTCCCACAATTCTTTCTCCATGTTGATTGATTTAAGACGAGACACTTGTCCATGGAGAAGTGGTAAATTTAAAGGCAATTCCTTTATATTTTTAGTGCCCGTGTTTAGTTATGCCAGTTACCTTAGTGTTTAGTAGAAAGGGAACGTCTACGAAAAATCAGCACCGTTCAGGTTGTACAGGTTAAAGAAATTGTAACCGTTACTGATATCAGCCCCTTCATTGTTGTCATCTTCTATTATCTCCTCCATTTGTACACAGTCCCAGACACTTAATGATTGAAGGTTATGGAAATTATGTACCAAACTCTGAAGGAAAAGCTTCTTTATTTTACCACAACCTTCAATACTCAACTCTATGAGCGAGGAAAATGTGCCAGGTGGAAGAGGTGCAACTGCTTCCCACTTGAAGAGACCAATTAAATTTGGCAAGTCATACAGTTCCAACCTTTCAAGGCTTTGGAATGGGACCCCAGTACTAGACCTCATAATGCACTCTATTTTATCCTCATCTTTTATGCGGCATCCTTTTAAATCTCTAGCATAATTTAAACTTGGAAATTCATCTAATAAGCAACCACTCAAGCCACTCCTTGAAAAGAATAAATTCTCAATGTCTCGTGGCAGCTTATTCTCATCTATATCTAAAGAGGATTCCATGAAACTGTCTTTTTCAAAAAATAAACATTTACTTACATGACTGAAATGCATTAGTTCTGTGCTTCCTCCAGAACCTAATATGATTTTGTAGCGATTGAGTTGTTTGTCAATTTGTCGTGAGTTGATTAACCGATTGAGATCACGTACGCTATTTAACCTGACTTCAATTAGTTCCAACTGTTTCAATGCCTCAACATCTTCTATTGGTGCATCTAAATGATTTGGCAACTCGAGCTGCTGAAGTTGTGTAAGTCCATGCAAAGTCCCCTTCGGTATCTTCTTTAATTTATCACAAATCAAACTCATGCGTTTGAGGTTGGTTAAGCTTTCCATACCTTGGGGTACTTCTTCAATAATAGTCCATGTGAGGTCCAAATGTCTCAATACCTTGAGTTTTTCTAATGATGGCACTGATACCAGTTTCGAACAACCTCTGAGCAATAATGCATTAAGTTTCTCCAAGTCTAATATGGAATTTGGCAAGCTCTTAATGTCAGTGAAACTTAAATTGAGAGTGCGTAACCCACACATATGCTTAAAGAAACATTCTGGAATCAGCCGCAGAGGATTTCCTCTCAAGATCAAGGTGGAAAGACTTGGACACTTGGGTGACGTGCCAGGTGAAATTTCCCTTATTTGGTTTTCCATCAAGGAAACCTTATCCAAATCTTCTGTCCACTCTTGCGCCTCCGGTAATTCCTCTAGGTGAAGTCCAGCTTTTACCATGTACCTCGGGTTATCTTTAGTGATCCTTATTGCCATCTCTCTGATTAAATCATGCATCTTTACAGATCCATTTGAATCACTTTCCAATAAGCATGCTCTCACCAATTGATTTAGTATTGAATGACCCTGGTCCTCCTCTTCTAGCATGCTTAATCTTCTCTCCATCAGCCCTTCTGAAATGAAATATTCAATCAATTCTCCTCTTGAAATACGACAATCTTCAGGATACAAGGAGCAGTACAAAAAACAACTTTTTAGACTTTGATCTCTCAACCGATGATAACTATACAAGAGAATTGGCAAAACCTCATCTTCCATGTCGTCTCGATGATAACATGATTCTTCAAGTCTTTTTAATGCATCTCTCCATTCACGAATGTCAGTCACGCTTCTCACGCTTCCAGCCAATGTGATGAGTGCAAGTGGCAAGCCATCACATCTATTTACAATTATCTTGCAAATCTCTTGTACATCCACAGATGGTTCATCACGTTCAAGTGTCTTCAAGAACAGGTTCAAAACATGACACTTTTAGTCCTTCCAATGCATCTTTCCATTCATGAATGTCAATCACGCTTCTCATGCTTCCAGCTAATGTGATGAGTGCAAGTGGCAAACCATCACATATATTTACCATTTTCTTGCAAATCTCTTCTACTTCAACAGATAGTTCATCACGATTAAGTGTCTTCCAGAATAGGTCCAAAGCTTCTTGCTTGGAAAGCGTGTTCACTTTGATAATCTTCTTGCAGCTCATACGAAGACAAACTTCTTCTGATCGACTTGTTACAACCAACTTGCATCCATCCCTTTTTAAAGGAATGCCTATCTCCAATGCCTTAATTTGTTTCCAAACATCATCCAGTATAAGTATGGATCTCCCACTTTTCTCAAATTCTCGGAACAGTTGAGCTGTCCTTTTCTTCACATCACTCCCACATGAAAAATCTAGTTTCAATGCTTGGGCAATGTCACTTTGCAATTTGTAAATGCTGAATTCTTGAGAGACGGTGACCCAATAAACATGACCCGATTTGTCAATACTGAACTCTTGAGAGACGGTGAACCAATAAACATGACCCGAGAATGTGGATTCTTTTAGCTTATCATGGACACGCTTTGACAGAGGCGTTTTGCCTACTCCCCCCATTCCATAAATGCCAATGCTTAAGATGCCGTCATCCATTAATGACGTACAAATGTCATCTAAATGTCGTTGAAATGCTTGGTCATTCGGTTGGGGTATTAACAATAACCGGTCAATACTCTCATCAACCTCAAGAAAAAGCCCGCTAGGAAAATCGCTTTGGTCAACAAGTTCCGTCACTTCCTTAGTCATTCTTTCGACCTGTTCAGCCAACTCTTGTCGTGAAAAAACATGATAAAGCCTTCTGCTTTGTTGTACTCGAGGTTCCAAGGTTTCAAACTCTTTTATAATGTTTTCAACATTATTCCTCCAATCTTCAACCACTCTCTTACGTTTTTTTCCAGAATGACAAGCTGCATTTTGTAATTCATGATCAACATCATCTTTTCGACTTTTCAGTAATTTTATTTTTCTTTGAAGAGTATTTGTATTTTCCTCCAAGTCTGGGAATATCAATGTAACATATTCTCGCAGCGTATCCATGTGGCTTCCTGCAAATATCATTCAATATTGTAAAATACAGTCAAAATACCAATGTAACACTTTAGATGTTACTAAACCGTGGGACACTAAATTTTGCAGAAAGGAATCCTTCATTTTGTATAAACTTAATCATGAAAAATTTCAAAACATTAATTTATTTCAAAATATTTGAACTTTTTCAGAAACTTAAATTAAGAGATTATTCACTATTTATATCTAAAAACTACTCTATTATTTGAGTTATTTTTATTGACAACGAACTGGTCAAGGTAGGAGGTCGAAAAGCACTTAGAAATGCAATAATTGAACCAATGGACTAACATCAATTATTGTTCTTTTTTCTTCTTTTTTTCTTTGGAGGGCCTGAAAATCCCTCATTATATGTATATGTTAATGTGGCGTTTAAAAGAAATTGTTCATTTTTCAAATGGCTACCGGTAGAAATTTTCTTTCTATGCTCCCGGTTGATTTTGTTAGTTTTTTTGGTAGACTTCTATAAAAGTTGATAAAATACATGATTGAAAAGTTTTGGATCACATAAAATGTATTGTTAAAATTGATTATTGATTTTGACTTAAATTTTTATCATCTTTTTAAGCTAAAACAAACAGAGCTATACATTATTATTCTAAGAGCTTTGTTACATGTAGCAAAGCTATTAGTATTAAGATTATACATAAAATAATGTCACGGCCATTAAACTAACACCTAAACAAACAAATTTATTAAATTAGAGAAAGCTAAATTACTGAGGGAAAAAGAAAACATAAATTTTTCTTCTAAACAAGGTCAGAAGTGAAAATAATAAAATTTGCGGGGTTCAAAAGTGGGAATATGAAACTAGAATAAATAAATATTTAAAAAGAAAAATGACAGACAATAGGATTGTCAAATGTTTTACTTTAGGCTTAACATTTTAGGGACAAACTATTTGAGAGACATATTAAGAACACCTCGCTGCATGGAAATAGTTCTAATTACACAATTAATTGTCACTAATGCTCATCAAAAAAACTCGCTGGATAATCATCCACATTCAGGGGCGGACGCAGAACTTTAACGTTGGGGGGCACAATCGAACTTGCAAAGAAGTTGAGAGAAATTTTACAATCGAAAATTTATGTCCAAAAAAACATACCCCATGTAATTTTACATCCGAAAATTTACATGCGATGACCTTTTCGGATGTAAAATTTCGAAAATTTTCAAAAATTTCCTAATAAAATGATGAAAATTACATTAAAAAATGTGTATTGCAAAAATAATAAATATTAATGAAATAATTGAATTTTTTTTTTTAAAAAATGCGAGTTAGACGTATTTTTAAAGGCTCACGTTTAACGTATTTTTAACTATTTTCGATATATGTTTGAACTATTCGATATGTCCATAATGTAGTTCTTGAAATAAACTTCGAAATGATATAAGCAATTTGTAGATTCGATTAGCGTACAATCGTCGGAGAATTTTTNAATTTGTAGATTCGATTAACGTACGATCGTCGAAAATTTTTTTAACTTAGTATATTCCGAAATTCAAATTTATTTTGATTTTGCCCATGTTTGGTGGAGATTAAAATCAATTTTTTAGTAAATTTTGATAAAAATTAAATAGTTATGGATTCCATGAAATATGTTATTAAAATTAATTGTTAACTTTGATTTAGATTAAAATATAAATTTCAATCAATACCAAACGTGATTTTATAAAAAAAAAATCTCAAAGGACCCCCCGGGTCCGCCCATGTCTACATTAGTGCTATGCAAAACATGTGGTATTTGGCATCAATATATGTAGCAACTACATAGATGAGTAATGTCATTTATCAATAATGGTGTTATAATACTAATTTATGTGACATTAAATGAAATGTATAATTATATGTGTTAAGTTCAAATTATTATTGGCAATTCCTTAGTCAAAATCATGTCTTAATTGAATTGTATTAAAAGTTTATCAAATTGCAATCAAAGTTCAAATATGAGTTATTGAGTCATAATTATAGCAAAAGAGTTGAAATTGGTAGTATATGCCTTGAAATAGTCCAAAATGTCCAAAAAAATTCACATATGATCAAGGGAATGCAATTAAAAATCTAAAGAGTGTTAAAGAGACGTACAAGTTATGCTCCAAATTTTCAGTCGCAACTTGCAACGCATTTTTCACATAAAAAATATTGGAATTTGGACAAGGTTGTTTCTAGAAGAATTATATCCCTTTGAGTTAGCTTTCTAACGCATTTTGAATCACCTTAATCGGACATTGTGAGAGAAAATTATAATAAAAATACTGACGACTACTCATCTGCTGCTCGCCTGTCTCTAGCTTGACGCTAGAGCTGCCGATCAACGTATATATATATCCTACTCTATGAACGTTAAAAAAATGTGTTGAATCATATTTATTCCATAGAGATAATTCATTTGAAGATCCAAAACATTCATTGATTTCAAAATTCAACCACCACATATTACCTGATCCATGAATTCATTCCAATCATGTTTTGTTGATCAGGTCATATTGTTTCATATAAAATCACATATCAAAGCACACAAGAACTTTTGATCAAACACCAAACTACTTAATCCACCGGAGATAATCGATACCAAGGACCGAGAGCTATTGCAGAATCACAAATTCAAGAAGACTAAGGTGAGGTACCAGGAGTCGGGATCTTACGTCAGGAGCATGCAGTCCCGAATGGCTAAGGTATAAACCAGGAGTTGAGATTTGTTTTGAAGGAGCACGCCTCTAGTAGGACAAGAAAGACTGTATGAATTGAGGTCAGAAATTCTACTGGGTAGAAGGGTCCAGGCCGTATTGTAAGTTTGTTTCGATTTATAGTGGATTATTGACCAGCAAAGTGCCACAAGTTTTTACCCAGTTTGGATTTCTCCGTAATCATTTTTGGTGTTCTTTACTGCTTTCATTATTGTGGCATTCAAATTTAGAATAAATTGGCTTGTTTGATCTAATCGTCTAGAAATAATTAAAAAGTGACTTATTGCTTTTAATTGTATAATTCTACACGCTAGGTCTAGATATTCGATAATTTAAAACTTTCTAGTAGTATCGAGACTAATAGCGATCCTTGACCCAAAATTTTGTCTAGATGAGTCGATCACATTCTGATGTAAGATTTGAGGATAGTAGGGAAATCTAGGAGTGTTTTTGAGCCGAGTAGAAACTTTTTGGTCGGGCTCGGCTCGAATAAAAATGGTTCGATCTTTTTTTGGGTCGAGCTGAGTCGAGCAAAAGCTCGGCCAAAAAATTTAGGCTCGACCCGAGTTTTCGGCTCTGGCCTTAGCGAGAGTTTTTACCTAGTTGGAATTTTTCCGTGATCATCTTTGATGTTCTTTACTGCTTTAGTTATTGATTGTAGTATTCAAACTTAGGATAAATTGACTTGTTTGATCTAACCATTTAGAAACAATTAAAAAGTAACTTGTTACTTTTAATTATATAATTCTGCACATTGGGTCTAAATATTTGATAATTTAAAACTTTAAATATGAATTACATAATTCTACATTTGGCTGAGCCTATCACATAGTGTCATCTAAACTAACTAACAAAAAAAAAGGAAAAAACGGACAATTTAAAGACGAAATTTGACCCCGAAAATTTGACAAAATCATCCAAAAAATATGTGCAAAAATCAGAATTGAAATATACTTTTGAATTGTACTCATTGACGAAAATTCGATAACCAAAGTGAAAGTTATGCACATTTTCGTAGATTCTCCATATTTCTTCTGTTTTTCAACTAGTTTAGGATTTTTCTTCTAATTGTCACGCATTAAGAGAAATAATTATATGAATTACATTATTCTATATTTATATGAGCCTATCACATAGTGTCACCTAAATTGGTATTATCGCACCAATCATGTTAGATATGATTATTTTATATAAATTGATATTAAACATTACTTGTACTATATAGAATTAATATAAGCAACATAATAGAAGAAAAGCTTTATTAGGATAGTCTTATATACTTACTTGTTAGGTGAACCCCCACTAATGTCGACACGTGGATATTCGTGCTATACTTAATTCTTATTCTATTTTTCTATCTTTGTTTTTTTTTTTTTTTGAATCATCAACTAAAAAGATGATAGGTATCTTGTGTCAGATTTAATACTAAGTCTTTGTTTGGTATAGCTAAAAGTCAAATTTTTAGTAGATTATGATAAAAGTTGATGAAATATGTGATTGAAAAGATGATAAAAATTATGGATCCAATAAAATGTATGATTAAAATTAATTATTGAATTTAATTTAAATTTTTATCAACATTTTAAGATACATCAAACGGGGGCTAAATTTATTTATTTTTCTTACTTTTTAGCAAATTTAATTTTAATCCCTATTTATCCCCTAACAAACTATAGTAATTTGACGTTTGAGAAACATAGCAACATTTTACAAATTGGCCCGAACATCAACATGAAAAAAGAATAAAAGATTAAGAGTTAAATGTCGCATGATATGTTCAACAATACAATAAGCGTTAATTAAAAACATTGTTCTATCAAAATTAATGCAAAAGAAAATTAAAAAATACATATTTATCCCCTAACAAACTATAGTAATTTGTCGTTTGAGAAATATAGCAACATTTTCAAAATTGGCCCGAACATCAACATGAAAAAAGAATAAAAGATTAAGAGTTAAAGGTCGAACCGAATTAATCGATTAAAATATTAAATAAATAAATACAAAATATTTATAACATTATGTAAAATTCAAAATTATACTTATTTTATAGGTAGTATATTAATTTTAAAAATTCACATAAATTATAACAAAGTATTCCAACATTTTCGTGGAGTTGATTTCATTTCCCTCCCAATTGTTGGGAGCAGTAGACAGTAGTCCCACATGGAAATCAACAATTGTTATAGAACTTGTTGGCATGTGGTCACTGTATGCATGCTAAGCTTGTTAAATGTAAGACCTGGCCTAAGTAATATTATTAATGAATTAATTAAAGC